AGCTGTCTCCACTACATCTCTTCCAGCAGTTTATTCAGCTCTTTCTCATTTCACAGATTTATTGGTCATTAAACACACATACACACACACACAGACAGACACACATTTATTTATTTATTTTAGAGAGAGAGTGTGTGTGCGAGCAGAGGGAGGGGTAGAGGGAGAAGGAGAGAGAACCTCAAGCAGACTCCACACTCAGCATGGAGCCCAACACGGGGCTCGATCTCACAACCCTGAGATCATCACCTGAGCCTAAAGCAAGAGTCAGATGCCCAACTGACTGCACCACCCAGGCCCCCATTATTGGTCATTTCTATATTTCTGTTAATTTCCTGTTAATAACCTTTGTCAATTGTTCCTGTAAGTCATTTGTTTTTTCATATATATATATGTGTGGGTGTGTGTATATATATATAGGAGCTCTTCCCATATTAGGAATGTAAGCCCTTGGCTGAGATATGTTCCCCAAGTCTTGCCTCAAAAGGACTCAGTGTCAGGAGGATTAGAACAAGATGCAGAAGGGGGATTGTCCCCCCTGTGTCTTATCCTTTTTGGGAGGCCAGAATTGGGCCTTTGGCTGTGACAGAATCAGGAAAAGGGTAAAGGGTAGGAAGGGAAAATGGAATGAGCTGGGAGGAGGGTCCCGTGTGAACAAAATGAGAAGAACAGACACAAGGAGGCAGCGCAGAAGGGAGAAGTTCTGAGGCTTGTCTGGAGCCTCTTTCTTCTCTGTCTCAGTCAGTTTGACCATTACTTCCTCCTGGACACACAGGGCAGGTCTTGAGGGAGGGTCCTAGGAGAGGAATGGGGACAGAGGGTGGTGTCCACCATGATCTTCAGACTAACCCTGATTCTCCATGAATGCCTCATCCACTCTCTCCATGCTTCCTTGGGTCTTTTAACAAGCTCTTCCACTCTATGTGTGCTTGTGTGATGATTTGGTGACGGTCCCTGACCAGGTTGGAAGCTCAGGCCTTGTGCATCCACTTAGCCACTATTTGCCTAGTGAGTCTCCTCAGGAACAATTTGCAGCACTGGGTGTGTCATTGCGACTCAGGAAGGGGGGTGGATGGGAGGATGGGGGGGTGGAGGGACAGTCACTCAAACAAGGTCCAAAATAGGAGAGGGCCGCCTCTGTGAGTCCCAGATCTGGGACTGCAGCGACCACCACCCTGGAAGAATGATCTTGAGCCTGGAACCCTCCCACCCCAGCCCTGCAATTCTGCCCCTTGGTATTTGTTCCTTCTCAGTTCTGACTGTGACTGCACTCAGTGATTATTTGTGTAAAGAAAGGGGGTTAGAAGAACCAAGTCTGAGGAGAGCAGGAGGGATTCCCTGCGAGAATTCTTGACTACATTCGAGAGAGGACCCCGTTGGGTGCACATCTCTCTCCACCCTGGACTAGGCGAGGCCTTTCTTTCCACGATCAACCGCACATTCCTTCACTGACTCCGTTCAAATTAATACACGTGGCGTGAGTGCCAAGCCTAGATCAGGGTAGGTGGCACAAACTGACTACTCCCTTCCGATCCTCAGGAGAGGGCAGCCCAGGGCTAGGGGCGCTCAGGGACCCTGAAGGGTGTCACTGAGCTCAAGTGTTGGAAGAGCGGGCATCGACCCCCCTCAACCAACCCCCACCAGCTGGGGGGCCGGGATATCACTTCCAGGGGCGGTGGAGGCAGGGGCGTGAAGAAGCGGGTGGGAGGGAGACACCCAGACCCTCCCCAAGCCTGCAGCAAAGCCCCCACCGCGCCAGGCAGGCTCTGGCCGCTCGCGGGCACCCCCTGCCGGCCAGCCCCGCCGCGCAGCCGGGCCCCTCGCCAGCCAATGAGCGCGGCCCCGGCGGGCGTGCCCCTCGCGCCCCAGGCATAAATACTCCGCACACTCCCCGCCCGGCGCATTTCTGGTCCTCACACAGACTCAGAAAGAACCCACCATGGTGCTGTCTCCTGCCGACAAGACCAACGTCAAGACCACCTGGG